TAAATCTCTCATCTTCAACATAACTAGAAGATAGAGGACTGTACAAACTTCAATTATTGTAAGTGGAGAATTAACATCAATTTTTAGTAGAATTATCTCTACTGTAAGCCTTTGTGGCAATTAGAGGTTTCTGGAAAAACTGTGTGGAAGAGACAGGGAGGTCTGAGAAAAATCACCCTCAGAAAGAGAAAGTCCATCCTAAGTGTGAAAATACTAAAAAAGAATCTAGGTAGATAAGAGTACTGATTAAACAGGAAGATACTTAAAAGTACATAGGTAGCGGTCATGGAAAAACAGTACTTCTGTGATGAAGAGGGTTAAAAGGAAGGGAGAGGCATTATTGGGGAAGGGAAAAAGAGGCAAGATGGGGAAATCCAAAATATCACAAAATAAAAGAAAACCAAAAATTGAAGGACGTACAACTTCTCCTCCATTGCCCTTCACCAAAAGCCTAATTTAAAGCAACTGCACTTCATTACTCTGACAGGAGAGGGTGCTCTTGAACTAGGGAATCATGTAAACCACCTCCTATTGTCAACCGTGTCCATTAAATGCATAGACGTAATCAGTCTTCTTCTATATGAAACTATTATAACACCAAAACAGGATGGAGAATCAACACATTTCAGTTGATGAAAATTATTCTCTGAAAAATTACCATGAAGCAGAAGAAAATTGTAACATGATACTCTAACCTGAATTAAATATCTTCAAACAAACATTGAGACATGAAAAATAACTTGAATCATAAAATCAAAAAACTGAGGCCAGAAATGGACCAAAACCTAGGAAGAAATGAAATGAAAGGTGATTGAACTTAGGAAAGAAATAGAATAAAATGGTAGAATTCACTTTTTTTTGGAAATACAGATTAAATTGCAAGGTGCTAAAGGGAGATAGATTCGAATGAAAATATAATAAAGAACAATGAAGAAAGGTAGGATAACAATGAAGAGAATGAAAATTATGTAAAGAAACAAGTAAACAAGAAGAACTAAATGATGCCCAGCTACGCTACTGACCATTCTGATCAGGACCACGATGGATGGACCCTGAGAGAACAGGAGAAAAACATGGAAAAGAACTCAAATTCTTAAAAAGTCCAGACTTACTGGACCAGTTGGGACTAGAGGATTCCCTGAGACTATCACCCTGAGATACTCTTTAAACCTTGGACTGAAACTATCCCCTGAGATCAACTTTTAATGAAATAAAAGATTGGTACACAAAATAGAGGATATTATCCATGAATATGGTGCTCCATTAAACAACCATCTGTATGAGACCAAAAGGTCAACAATTACTCTAAAGCAAAGATGAGAAGATAAGGGGCAGGGAAACTAGAGTACTGGAAGTGGAGCAACCAGAATGCAATTAAAGGGAATGTTGACACATTGTGAAAAATGTAACTATTGTCCCTGAACAATTTGTGTAGAAATTGTCAAATGGGAGCCTAATCTGCTGTGTAAACTTTCACTTAAACACAATAAAATATTAAAAAAAAGAAAGAAACAAGTAAAAA